GTCTGAATGTGTCTTTCATTGTCAAAGACATGGTAAAGGTACTAATTTATATTTGGCTTTAATAGATCAAGGGTTCATATTATAATCTCTAGGGTAACCAGTAAAATGAAATATATTAAAATAGAATAATAAAATATAATTAGTATAAAAGAGGAAGAGAAAGGAGAAGGACATAGAACAGATGGAGCAAATAGAAAAGCAATAGTGATATGAAAGATTTAAATATATCGGCATTACATTAAATATAAAACAATTAAATACTCCAGTTCAAAGACAAAGGATATCAGACAGGAGGAAAACAACATGATATACTGCTTCCTAGAGACAGACTTAAAATATAAGAATACAGGACCGGCCAGTGGCTCAGTTGGTTAAGAGCACGAGCTCTGAGCAACAGGGTTGCTGGTTCGATTCCCACATGGGCCAGTGAGCTGTGGCCCGAGTTGTGCTGCTGCTGAGCTGGTGAGAGTGAGTGCTCTTAGCAGCAAGGTTGCCGGTTCGACGACACCCATATGGGATGGTGGGCTGTGTGCCCCCACCCCGCCCCCGACCCCGCCACTAGACTGAAAGCAGCGACTGGACTTGCAGCTGAGCTTGCACCCTTCACAACTAAGATTGAAGGACAACAACTTGACTTGGGGCTAATGGATCCTGGAAAAACACAATGTTCCCCTTCCCTAATTCCCCAACACTGTTCCCCTACCCAATTCCCCAATAAAAATCTTAAAAAAAAAAAAGAATACAGAAGGATTGAAAGTGAAAAGACAGAAAAAGATATATATGAAATAAGTCAGACTGAGAAAGACAAATACCACATGATCTCACTTATATGTGGAATCTAAAGAACAGAGTAAATGAGCAAACAAAACAGAAACAGACTCAGAGATACAAAAAACAAATTGATGGTTGCCGGAGGGGAAGGGGGTTGGGGAGCTGGGTGAAAAAGGTGAGGGGATTAACAAGTATAAATTGGTAGTTAGGTAGTTACAAAACAGTCACGGGGATGTAAAGTACAGCTTAGGGAATGTAGTCAATAGTATGGTAGTAACTATGTATAGTGCCAGGCAGGTGCTAGACTAAATCGAGGGGATCATTTATTTTCTTTTTTTTTTTCCTAAGATTTTACTGGGGAATTGGGGGATGAGAACAGCATTGGGGAATCAGGGAAGGGGAACAGACAAGTTGCTGTCCTTTTGTTCTTCAGTCTAGTTGTGGAGGACGTTGCTTCACTGGCCCATGTTGGTATTGTGATCATTGCGCTCTTCCCGGGTGAGGCAGATCGGTCGCCGGCCAGTGGACGGCAGCTCATGGCAGCTGCCATTCACTCACAGTAGCTTTGTGGCAGCCCCACTGCAGCCCCACTGCAGCCTACGCTGCCGGCGGTGACTCACAGCAGCCCAGCTCCAGGTTGAGCTGTTGTTCACCATCTTAGCTGTAGAGGACGCAACATCACTAGCCCCCATGTGGGATCCGAACCGGGGCCCTACTGCTCAGAACTTGCGCTCCCAAGCCAACTCAACCAACACGCGACTCGGCCGGCCCGAGGGGATCATTTCTTAAATTATACAGATGTCTAACCACTATGCTGTACACTTGAGATTAATATAAAATAATATTGAATGTCAACTGTAACTGAAAAAAATAATTTTTAAAAAGTATATCATGAAAACATTAACCAAAACAAATCTTTTGTAGCTATAGTCATATCACACAGTTTAGACTTTCCTAAAGACAAAGAGGAACATTTCATGATGATGAAAGAGCCATTTATCAAGAATCTGCAGCATGTCTAAATTTACAGAAACGTACTTAACATGGCCTCAATTATAAAAAAAGCAAAATTGACAAAGCTAAGAGGAGAAATAGGCAAACTCGCGATCATAATGGGAAATTTTAACACATCTCTCCTAGAATGAGCAGACACAGGCAGACACACACACACACACACACACACACACACACACACACACACACACACACACACACACACACACACACACACCCCAGGAAGGATATAGGGCATTGAACCTGACACCCGGAGGACACATTTTTTTCTGATGTACCTGGAACACTGAACAAGCCTGACTACATGTTGGGCCATAAAGCAAGTCCTCATAAATTTTAAAGGAAGGATTGAAATCATACAGAGTATGTTATTTTGACTACGGTGAAATTTAGCTAGACGTCAATTACAGGAAGATAATTTTAAAATTCCGCAATTTGGGGATATTAAGCAATAAACTTATAAATAACCCACAAATCAAAAGAGAAATAAGGATCACAATGGCTGTTAGAAAATATTTTCAATGGAGAGGATGGAGAGGGGAAAGGTAGTACATTACTTCAGGGAGCAGAGCCATGAAAATGACCCTAAGAGAAATTTCACCTTTCAGTTAGGGTGCAGGAATGGCGTAGAAACAGCTGCCCCCACCATGACAACGAAAAAACTCGAGATGAACTAACACAAAACTTCCAGAAGGAAATAGTTTCATGAACTTCAGATAGGAAAAGGTTTTTTAGGACACCATAAAAGGAACCATAGTCACCAAAGGAAAAGGGGGGCTTCTCAGATTCGGACAACAAATGTTCTAGTTCTTGACCTGGGTGCTAGTTGCACAAGTATGCTCACCTGGGACTGATTCACCAGGATGCACACTTACCCCACGCTTTCTGACCTGGATGTTAACCTTCAGCTAAAGAGTTCATTTTTAAAAAAGAGAGAGCGGTCACCAGCACCCACGGAGGGAGGGTCAGAAGGAGGCTGTCGCCACACACCCACGGGAAGAAGGGAGAAGGTGCCGGGGTGGGTGGGGGGAGCAGTTTGCTGTCAATGTTATACTCCTGTCTGTCTACTTGTTTATTTCCTGCCTCCGCCACTAGCCCTCTGACTGGCACCAGGGACAGTTCCAAGATTTGGGGGACTTGACGCTTACACAATTTTAGGCTCCTTCTTTATGACACCAAAAACAAAAACAAAATTGAGAATACATTAGGTGTTGCAAGCTATTTTAGGATGAGAAAAGAAATCCTAACACTCATTAAATTCTATACGACAAATACAAAAAAAATCCAAAAGTGCAGAAAAGTGTATTAATTAACTGCCAGACATCTCTTTTCTTTTAAAGATTTTTTTATTGGGGAATTGGGGTAGGGGAACAGCGCTGGGGAATTGGGGGAAGGGGAACAGACAAGTTGCTGTCCTTTTGTTCTTCAGTCTAGTTGTGGAGGACGTTGCTTCACTGGCCCAAGTTGGCACCATCATTGCGCTCTTCCCAGGCGAGGCAGATCAGTCGCCGGCTTCTGGACGGCCGCTCATTGCGGCTACTGGCCGCTCACACTGGCTGCTGGCTACACACGGTAGCCCATGGCAACCCACTGCAGCAGGGGCTGCAGCCTCCGAGTCGCCGGGACTCTCAGCAGCCCAGCTCCAGGTTGAGCTGTTGTTCAGCATCTTAGCTGTAGAGGGCAGTGTCACTGGCCCTCATATGTGGGATCCGAACCGGGGCCCTCTGGCATCCCAAGCCAGCTCTTAACCATCGCGCCACTCGGCTGGCCCCAGACATCTCTTTATTGTATCTTTTCCCGACATTTTTCTCCACATACTCTTTGCTCACCACCTCACATGACAATGATTTTGTATCATTTTCTACAGAGAGAACGGGAAGATAATGGAGTCTTTAGCATGGTTGATGAAAATCTGGCTTTTGTCATTGCTCATTGAGGGCTTTTTTTTCCAGCTTCCCAACTTTGTGAGAATGCTGTGGTAAGATACGATCTAATACGTTAGGGAGCGTAAAACACGCTACTTTGCACCCAGGGGTGCCAGCCGTCTATAGTATGGCTACAGAGATGGACCCTACACAGAATTTGGATGCATTCTGTTTTGTGCAAATCCTGTCAAAACCCCCCCAAAAGTATGATGCATTTCTACTTGCATACTCTGCACTATCAGATTTATTCCTGACGGGACAGAACTTCCATTTTGACTGTCTGTGAGAGCCAACTCCTCTGCTTAGTTTTTGAAACATTGTGGTGAAATACACATAATATAAAATTTACATTCTTAACCATTTTTTCAGTGTGCAGTTCAGCGGTGTGAAGTACATTCACACTTTTGTACAACCATCACCACCGTCCATCCCTAGAACTTTTTCACCTTGAAAAACTGAAACTCTGTGTCCATTAAACACTGTTTTCCCTCCCCCAGCCCCTGGCACCCACCTTTGTACTTTCTGTCTCTATGGATTTGCCTGCTCTAGGGACCTCAGATAAGTGGAATTATACAGTATGTGTCCTTTTGTGACTGGCTTCTTTCACTCAGCATGATGTCCTCAAGGTCCATCCATTTTGTAGTAGATTTTCCTTCCTTTCTAAGGCAGGGTAGCATTCCATGGTGCGGATGGACCACATCTTGTTTGCCCATCATCCATCAGTGGGCACGTGGGTTGCTCCCACCTTTCTGATACTGTGACTAATGCTGTTACGAACAATGGTGTATAAACACGTCTTTGAGAGTCTGCTCTTGATTCTGCTGGTTATAATACAGCAAAGTGGAATTGCCAGGCCATATGGTCACTCTGTGTTTACTCTTTTGACGAACCGCCATGCTGTTCCCCACAGTGGCCGCACCATTTTACGACCCTCTGCTTACAAGTTTACACGTCTGCTGATGGGAGAACTCTTCCAGACTGGCTGGCTCTGAGTGCTACACTACCTTTGGCCCTGGACCTTCCTTCCTATCGCGACAGCAGGAAACTGTCTCAGAAGGTGGTAGGGCTGTGTATTCCTGGGAACCACTGCTACAGGGTGGCCAGCGAAAGCTTCACTACACACAGAAGCGACTGCAGACCACACACACGCATCCCACTCTCTCTCGACTTCCCCTGAGTCAAGCCCCTTCAGTACCAGTGACCACTGCCTCCCGAAACAAGAGAAGGGTGACGGCGGGCAAGTTGGAAGAGAAGAGACGAGTCTTAACCAATCACAGTTAAAATACTTTTTTAATTGTTACAAAAAGTATGCCCATGTGAACACAATGATAAGGCATCTCCCAGGGCCTTGACAAAAGGTACCTGCAATACAGGGGCCTTTGATACTTAAATGCTATTCGTTTCATTGTAAAGCGGCCTCTACCCGGCTCATTTTTGGAAAATATTTAACTTGGCAACACATTAAACTCTATTTTTGAACAACCTTTGCAGGTCTGCCCTATATGTATTTAGTTTTGTTTTGGAATAACAAGTCGACTAGGAAGGCAAACGTCCGTTGGAAGAAAACCGTGAAACCTCTGTATAAACACCCTTCCCCAGGTTGCCAACACTTGCACCCTAGCGACGGGACTGTGTGGAAGGATGCTTGGACCTGGGCATGCGCGTTTGTGTCACGGGGACGCGGCGTGGCCACGCCCCCCTGTGGTCGGACCCGAGCAGCAGGCTGCTGACCTCGGCCCAGCACATACCTCTTAGGAGGGAGGCTCTGCTCCTTGCGCCCTCAGCCCATTTCTCGTCCTTCAGGGCCGCTTCGCCCTTTCTTCCAGGTGTCATGGGCGCTGATGACCACCAGGTGGCGGGGTTGCCCGCGAGGACTCTGTCGCCACCTCGTGGCCGACACCGAACACTACGCCTTCTCGCCCGTCGCTGGGGTGCTGGGGTGCAGGGAGAGTTCGTACGGCTGGGGAATATTAGTCACAGTGTGCTTCAAAGCCTGACCGGCAGCCCAGGAAGAAATATGCAGATTCTGGGGCCTAAAGACATCTTCCAAAGCCCTCCTTGCCCTCGGTTAGTAGAGGATCAGTAACCCCCGACCTCAGGTCCCCCCATAGAAGGGGCTCCCCAGCCAGTATTCAGTATTCAGACCCTGAACCCGAGTGAAACGCGGGGGTCGGAGGGTGGCAAGGGGAGTCCAGTCGCTTCTCTCCTGTTAGGTTCTGAGTCGTGCTCAGCACACAGTAGGAGCTTAATAAGTGTCTAAGAAACGAAGGGCCAACTCGCGCGTTCTGTCCCGAACTCCCCCTCCCCACACACCAAGGGCGCCTGGGAGTTTCCTGTGGGTGGAGGTGCGCTAGACACCCCGTCCCGGGGACGCTGGCAGGAGTGGGAATGCGAGCCCCCAGAAAACCGCTGAGGGGACGCTGCGCCAGGGGGAACCAATTCATTGCTGCGAACTTCCCCACAGAGGAGGGCGGCCGGAAGTCTGCCTCGGCTCGAGGGAGAGCCAACATGGGAACTCAGCCTAGTCCTGGTTCTTATTGGCTAAAACTAGGGAGCTGGGAGGAGCGATGGACCCTGGCTTCCGCCTGACTGTTCATTGGCTAATTGTCGCTTAAGGCCTCGGGTTCTCATTGGCTAAAGTCGACTCGGCGGTGTCCTACGATCCTCCGGCTTCCTCGCGGGTTGGTAGGAGAAACAAGCCCTTGCCCCGCCCCTCGAGCAAAACCCTTCATTTTAAACATAAAGTTGGGGACCGGGTGGCCCTTTTCCCCGAAGCCTAAGGCTCCCTTGGGCGTTTGCTCCCCGAGGCCTTCGAGTCTTACTGAGCCAGGGATTGAGAGAGACGCGATCGGTGAGTGAGGCTGGAACGAATCCTTCGCGGAACCATCGACGCAAGGCCTCCGGGAGCGCGTGGAGGAGCTGACTGCGGCGGGCCCGGCCGGATCCGTAGGAATGGCAGCGGGGACGGGCGACAGGGGGCCGGGGGTCGCCGTCCCAGTGGAGCTGCGGCGCGAGAGGCGCTTGGTGTGCGTGGAGTACCCGGGCATTGTGCGCGACGTGTCCAAGATGCTGCCGACGCTGGGCGGTGAGGAAGGCGTCTCCCGGGTGAGGATCGGGCAGTCTCCGCGACCACGGGGGAGGGATGGAGTTGCGGGCTTACGGCCGGAGCGGCGGGACCATCGGGGAATGGGGAGTGACGTATGGTTTCCATGGCAACGTAGCTTGAGGCGGGCTCTGGGGCGGACAGTGGGCGGGGCTTTGCTTTGGGAGACCGCCGGGAATGGACCGTGTGTTCCTGGGAGCAGAGGGAAAAGGACTGTACGGGGGACAAGAGAACGGAGCGGGTGACCCTACTATCCCATACTCAGTGAGCCGCAGTCTTGGCATCCCTGCTGTGAACGCAGTTCCCCTGCAGCCCCGCAGGATGTGTGAGCTGTCAAGTCCTGTTCTCACGGAGGAAAAACTGAGGCACAGGGAGATTAAGAACCGTTGACCTACGTGAAAGGGGGATGAAGTGTTCTGTTATTAGGGTTAGAGGCAGTAATAGCTAGCAAGTTATTCTGCACCAGGCACAGTTCTAAGTGCTTTACTGACATTCAATCCTCATTAGAACCCTGCCAGGCAGGAATTGTCATTGTCTGCATTTCACAAGGAAACCGAGGCAACTTGTTCAAGGTCACCAGGAAACAGGGGAGCTGGGATGAAGTCTTACCTTGTGCCCAGCTCTGTGAGTGCTTTATGTGCACCAGATCTTGAAATGTCTCATCTTTAGTGAGGCCTTCGCTAACTGCCCTAACTAAAGTGGCCTCTGGCAGTTGATACTTGTCCGCAACCTGATAATTCCAATCTGAAATTGTGTTTTAATGTGTTTATTGCCTGTCTTGGCTCCTTGGCTGTAATTCTGTAAACTCCTGTCTCTCTTGTTCACTCCTGTAGTCCTAACACCCGTCACTGTGCCTGCTTCCAAAATATTTGTCAAATGCATGACTGAGTCCTCACGACAATCTAGTGAGCTAGATACCATTATTACCCCCACTTTTCAGGTAAACACACAGTAAGAAAGGTTGGGTCAGACAAGCTGCTACGTGGTGTAGTGGGGATTTGGACTCATGCATGCTCCCCTCTGGAGTCTGAACTTGTAACTGCTTTCCTCATCCTTTATGAAGATTGAAACACCTGTCATTAGGCACCGATGCCTGTAGCAGCCCCATCAGTCATGTTTTGTTCGCTTATTCTGACTGATCACTTTCCTGTGGCATTAACAGGACTCTTACTCTCACTAACCCCACGGATATTTGTGCCCAACTACAATGTGAGCCCCTTGGGAACAGACTGGCCATTCATTCCATTCCTGTTTCTTGAGCATTTCCTCTGTGCCAGGCCCACATCTGGGGTCATTTCCAGTCCAGCAGGCTCAGAGGCCTGTGTTTCATGAGAAGAGATTCCTGAGGGTCGGGGCTCCTTTTAACCTTCTTCTTTCCTAGGTCTTTCCTGAGCACCTACTAAGGGCCAGGCCCTGTGCTGGGTGTCGGGGAGCCAGTGGTAGATATTCTTGGTCTGGTGAGCATTGTTGGTGTTTTCACATGCACACAGCAGACAGGTCGTGTGGGACAAGCATCCATATGTAGGTGACACGTGTTAAGTGTCTACCTTGAGCTGGGTGCTGCCCTGCTTTACACATACTTTCATTTAATCATCATAACAATTCTATTACCATGTTTCCCCAAAAATAAGACCTAGCCAGAGACTAAGCCGTAGCATGATTCCTCCAGGGTGTGGAGGGCACGCACTCCTCACATGAGGGTTTTATGACCTGTTTTAGGAAGAAGGGTGCCTTTTTCACAAACTCCTTCAGCTTAAAATATTCAGTATGCCAAGGTGCCATATTTTGGCACCTAAAATCATGCTATGGCTTATTTTCTGGCTAGGTGGGGGAAACAGGGTAGTAGGTGCTCTTATTATCTCCTTTTTAAGGAGAAGGAACCAAGGCTTGGAAAGGATAAGTAACAGCTAGTCAGAACCAAAATGCTTATTACTGATCAATTTAATCTCCTTTGAACTTAGAAACATTTGCATATGAAATATTTGCATATTTGCATACTGAATACCAAGACCTTTAGGGTGGATGGTTCCTAGAATAGGAAGCTCTGGACACATCGTGCAACCTCCCCCAGCCTCAGTGACCTCCACGGTAAATTCAGGTGATATTGCCTATGTGCAGCGCTGCCAGAGAGTCACGGGACTCCCACACTGACCGGGCTGGGCCCTTGTCAGATGACGGCTTTACTTAACTGGCAGTTATTATCTCCAGCTTCACAACCACTTAGAAAGAAGAGATGATCCTCATTTTCCCCGCCAGATAAAAGCTAAGATACTTGGGTTTGAAAGTGAGTTTTATGGGAACAAAGAGCTCAGAAAGAAACATGAGCTTTCCGGCCCTTCCCTGGTCACCTACATCACCACCAGGCTTTTATTGAGACAGGAGCGGTTTTCTGCCGCCTGCTTAGCTGGTCACTGTTTCATCCTCTGCCTTGGCCTTGCCACAGACCTATGCAGACCCCACCAAGAGGCTGGAGCTGTACTTCCGGCCCAAGGACCCCTACTGCCACCCCGTGTGTGCCAACCGCTTCAGTACCAGCAGCTTGCTGCTCCGGATCAAGAGGAAGACAAAACAGCAGAAGAGGGTGCCAGGGCCCGAGGCCCACCCCGAGGTCACGTTCGACATGGAGATCCTTGGCATCGTCTCCACCATTTACAAATTCCAAGGTAACTGCCAAACGCATTCTTACTGCAGGACCTATGCCCCAGCTGCCTGCAGGAGCCTTGTAGGTCACGTGCACAGTGAAGTGGGGGCCAGGGCGTGCCCAGGCGTGAGGGGCAGGAGATGAGGGCACCTCCTCCCCGCAGGCAGCAGCTCCTGTGGCCTGGGCTCATTGTCGCTGATCTGCATTCTTAGGAGAAGCTCGACTTCCATGAGAAGTGTCCTAATGTTTAAAGATCTTATGTGGGGCCAAATAAAACTGGCCGGCAGGCCTCCAGTTTTCATGCCCCAGTGTTTGGGAAGCTTCTCTTGGTTGTGACTGCTGCTGGTCTTACCTTCCCTCTGAAGCCTTCCCAGATCACCTCCGCCCCTTGGGACCTCATGTTCTTTTCACTCTTGGCCAATTGGATGTCTCTGGTGGGGTCCTCCACTGAGTTTGCTACCCTCAGGGAACCCCAGGGAGAAGGCTGTAGGAGGGAGGTGGGAAGGGGGAGTGAGAAAGAACTGAGACTTGGAGTTGTGCAGGCCTGAGGTCTGCGAGTTTCTTCGTGCAGGTCACTCAGCCTCGCTCTGCCTCAGCCTCCTTTTCTGTACAGTGGGTCCCGAGTTCATAAGTCCTCAGGGAAAGGATGCCCATTAAGGGGTTGGCCCATGCACATGGGGGCACTTAGAAATGTCTGTAGCTGCAGCTGCAGTTCTCAGAATCTGAGGAGAATGAAGATTGAGACAGGAAGAGGCAGTAGAAAGAGAAAAGAAGTGAAAAGAAACTAAAACAGGACCTGGAACCCAAGCGGTTGGTTATTTTGAATGTCATTCATTCTGGTGGCATGTGGCATTCACCACAGAGGGCTGTCCTGGTTCAGACAAGGCCTTCCCGGTGATTGCTTTTTTTCTTTCTCTCACTGAGCCAGCATCTCACCAGTCTGTGTGCGTCCCTGGACCAGCGGCATCTGCTTCACCTGGGAGCTTGTTAGAAATGCAACATCTCAGAGTCTGCATTTAGCAAGATCCCAGGTGAGTCACGTGCACGTTACATTTTGAGAAGTGCACACCTGGGCGTTATTGGCACGTTTCCCATAACCCCTGCCCCACCAAATTATATTCAAGTGACTTGGGGTGCGTGAAGCCCAGTGCATGGCAGCATTTTGGAAGGGTGTGGGTTCAGCTCCTGCCACCATGGCCCGGCAGCCCCCACGGAGCAGCTCGCTCAGCACCTCCCCAAGAAGACATGGGCATGGGCACATGGCAGCTGCCAGTACCTGGGCAGGTGTAATAGGGGGCGTTGTCCCTGGCTGCGGTGTCCGCCATCTCTCTGCCTCTCTCTCCAGGAATGTCCGACTTCCAGTACTTGGCGGTGCACACGGAGGCGGGCGGCAGGCACATGTCGATGTATAACAAAGTGCTCATGCTCAAGCCCCAGAAGGAAGCTTTCTTCCACCAGGAGCTGCCGCTCTACATTCCCCCGCCCATCTTCTCGCGGCTGGACACCCCGGTGGACTACTTCTACCGCCCAGATACGCAGCACCGGTGAGCCCCGCCCCCACAGCTTCAGGTCAGAGCGAGGGCCGTGCGGCCAGCGGGCCTGGGCAGAGGCCCGACCTGCCCCTCAGGAGGTGGAGGCCTCGGGCACACCGTTAGCCTCTCCGAGTCGCAGGTCCCCGTCTGAACACGGGATAACAGGAGTACCTACCCAACAGAGGTGCGAGGATTAAATCTAAAACGCAGAAGGTGTTTCAGCACAGGGATGAGTACAGAGAACGGCCTTGGCAAGTGGTGGCCTGTGTGCTCACGAGCTTGTGGGCCCTTAAAGGACAGAGAGCCTGGCTGAGAAATGGCCACTTTGGCTTAGTGTCCGGTCAGTGCTGACCAGCCACCCTCTGGACCTTGCTGTCATCAGTAATGACACTACCTAAGAAATTCCACCTTCGAGCTTCCCCCTCTAAACTCGTTCCACCACCTCTGTCCCCTCCTGGCCTTACTGTCCCCACCCCGGGCAGCGACTTCATGGCCATCTTTATAATTCATCCTTGCTATGCCCATCTCCCTTTGCCACTCTCACCTCCAAACCACAGCCCAGTTTGCCCAGCTGTGTGCCATCTCCCGGCGCCCTCCCGCAGGGTGGCCTGACTGTGCTTGGTCTTGGTCCCTCTGCTTGTGAGAGTACAGGCCCCTGAGCACAGGCGTTCGTTTCTCCTGAGTCAGGTGGTTTCTTTTGCACGGAGAGTGGAAAAGCCAGACGGACATGTGTCACAGCCCGTCCCCACCCTGCCCCCGCGTGCACCCCAGCAAGACCACGTGCCAGGGCTGGGTTTGGAGAAATTAAATGAATTTTTTCATTTACACAATCTCGACAATAAGTAGAGACCCTGGGGGTTGTAGGCAAGACAGGCCTGGGCATGTCACGAGTTTTACAGTGGAGACTAGCCTCACAGTGACGTGAAAGAATGGATTTCCTTTGTATAAAAACCAAGACTGAATAGTATAAAAAAGAAAACATGAGTTTGAAAATGCCCAGCTGGATACTAACATGGCCGCCTCCACAGCCAGTGACCTAGCAGTCCTGTGGGAGAGGTGCCCACGGGCGCGTGTTCACCCTCAAACCTGCAGAGGGTCTCCGTTTCTGTCGACCCCATCTGACACATGAGGGAGCTGGGACTTGGGGTCAGTGACTCATCCAGGGCACAAGGCAGCACCCGGGCCTTGCCCGGTGCCACACTTCTGTTCTTGCTTGCTTTACTTTCCAGGTTACACACAAGAAGACATTGTTTTTGAAATGTCCCAATTGTAATGTAAGCTCCCCCGAGGTAGCGATTTGGCCCCTTCTGTGCTCTGTCGTAACCCTGGTGCCTAGAACAGAGCCTGGCCTGTGAGAGGTGCTCAGCAAGTACCTGTGCCCCCAGTGAATGGAGATTTGGGGTATAAGAGTAGGAAAAGCAGATAAGCACAAGGAAAAAGACAGTTTGGAAAATGGCCAATAGGCGGTGACATTTGTTAAAGAATTATTCCATAGCATGTTTCAGATTTCCAAAAATGGAGCGTTTCAGCACCTGCTGACTTGAGTGGCGGAGGGTCACCTCCCCTCTGGGTGGCCACACGCCGCCAGCTATGCTCAGGCCCATGGCCCCAACACCTCCCGAGGCAGGGCAGCTGGTGACGAGGGGCCCTGACAAGGAGTGTCAGGATCCAGCCCTGGTCCCTGCACCCCTCCTGGAGGTCTTGCTCAGAGCTGTCTGCATAGCAGGGAGAGTGAATCGGGATGTCACCTTTGGACTTGAAGACCCGTCCCCAAAAGCATGCATCTTGGGGGATGGAGTGACAGACACCCTCCTACTGAAGGACACCAAGAATGAGGGCAGCTCTTTTGGAGAGAAGTTTGGCAAAGTCTGTTATGATTTTAGATGTTCTTTCCTGTTGGCCTGTAGCAGTCCCACCTTAGGAATGTATCCCACAGTGACTGTCACCTAAGAGCTCAGAGATACACTTGTGAGAGTGTTTACTGGTTAATTGATGGCGGCAGCAAGAAACTGAGAGCCTGGCGCGGTGGGAGAGCCCAGACTGGTGCCAGGCTCCCACGTTCAACGTGCCACCCTGAGCGACCCCATCCGTAAGGGAGGTGATAACAGTGCACCCCTCCTGCATTGTTGGGAGTCCTAAATGACAAGGGTTTTGAAATACTTACAATAGTGAGCGCCTGGCAGTTTGATAAAACAAATAAGGGTCAGTCCCTTAGGAGGGACTTGGTTAGTTAGATTGAGGCCTGTCTATGCCAGGGAGCACCATGCAGCCTTTAACCGTGCAGGGTGACCTGGAGAACGGGAGGGGCGCTCTCCAGGGGCACTTACAGACCCTGGCCAGGGCCTAGATTGTATCCCAAGGAGAAGGTGTATCCTCTTCCTTTAAAAAAATGGAAGGTTGCAAACATACCCGAAGGTAGAGAGAGAACTGTCCACTGAACCCCCACCTACATCACCAGCTGAAGTGACGAGCAGCCTTCTGTTGCTCGCTTCATTTCTCCCCGATCCCCACCCCAGCGTCACAGCACATCCTCCAGAAACAAGTCAGTGTGTGTCTAACGGGCAAGGGCTTGTTTTTAAAAACACAACTGCAATGCTGTTACCATAGCGAGCAAGGTTAGCAACATTCCTTAGTGTCGTCCGATACCGGCCCTTGTTCTGCTGCCCGGTTGTCTCACGGGGCCGCACGGGTTGCTGCGAGTGACGTCTCAGGCCCCTGTTGAATCCATGTCATCATCCCAAGCCCCTTTTCTGACAGCAAAACGTCCCAGAGATGTGTAACTAAAGGAATCAGGCCCCATCCCTTCCTGCTGAAACCCGTGCACGTGGAATATTTCTGTGTGGATATTATAGTTAGTGCAGGGGGCGGTATGATCCATTTTAAAATTTTACATATTTCTGAAATGTTTTGATGATTTTTCCCCCGCAAGCATTTTACTCTTATAGTCAGACACAAACAAGAACATATAGAAGAGAATAGAGTCCCCAATGCACTGCTGGCCCTGGCACCAGTGACAGTGTCTGAGCCACTTCTCCGTCCCTGGGGGCCAGCAGGCAGCTGTTCCCAAGCCCCTGGGAGGGGCGGGGAGGGGGCCGACTGCCCTTGGGGGGCCCTTTTTCCTCCACATGTGGCTTATCGGTTATCCAGCATGTAGAAAGAACCTGCCTGTTCTCCCAGGGCTGCTATCGGTCATCTGCTCTGCTGGCCTCCGAGGGACACGACCCTGGCAGGCGGGAGGCCTGGCTGCCGCCTCGCAGGCCCCTCCCTGTCCAGGTCAGCTGAGCTCCTCCCTACAGGACAGGTGGGCTGAGGAGAGGCTGGGACGCTGGCCTGAGGGGGACTCCACCTTGAGGAAGCTGGGTGGGGGGTGGGGATCCCTTCCCCTGCAGGGAGCCACTCTCCTCTGTGGGGACGTCTGGGCTTTGAAAACAGGCTAATGCTGCTCCTGTCGGGACAGTTTCTGATGGAGTCACTTTTTTTTCCCAAAAGGCAGAGTTGACCCTGTCTTTGTCATTTTATTTCTCAATGTGAAAATCACCTTGTCCTTTATAAATATGCAGATGGTAGGTACTCGTGTAGGAAATTAAGGTAAAATGGAAGCAAATTTAAAAGATGATAGTCACCTGAATGCAATTATATGATGCCCAGGACATACTTTAAAATGTACTCGAAATAATTCAGTGGGCTTGGGGGTGGGGTACAGATGAAATGAAATTAGCCATGTGATGATAATTGTCGAAGCTGGTGATGGGCTCATGGGGGTCCTTCGCACTGCTCTCCCTGCTTTAGTACAGGTTTCACACTTCTGACACCCGCTTTAAAGAGGCGACCACTTGCCTGGGTGTGCTCTGTGCCAGCACAAGAGAGACACAAAGGCATGAGAACCCTTGCTTTTAACCTCTGCCGTATGGCGACACCATTTGGTAATGTCCGTTGTTCCTTCATCCAGGTATTGTCCGGATGCTTCCAGGCTAGCCATGCGCTCTGTCAGATGCTGGCAGCATGGTGTTCACGGGGCCCCTGGGCCGCCTCCCTGGTGTGAGTCCCAGCTCGGCTATTACAAGCTCTGACTCTAGGCATGTTTCTAACCCCTGTGGCCTCAGCTACTTCACAGGAAGCTGGTTCCTTCCTCGTAGGCTGTTCCGAGGGCTGAAGACGTGAATCATCCGTCAGTGAGCGTAGCTATTGTCTTACAGGGGATCGATCCCTCGTGTCCTGTGTGGCTGCGCTGATTTCATCACTCCTGCCTGAGCGGCATTTAGGCTGTTTCCAGTTTTCCACTGGCTGATCAGGGCGTGCAGGACTCAAAGCAGTCATGAGGCCACCAGCCTGGTGACAGGAGTGCTTCCCCACATCCCAGCCTCCAGGACCTTTTGGCCCCAGCTCCCAGCTTCAGAGCCTGAGTTGTCTTTGGCAGTTGCTGCCCCTTCTCCTCCCGGTGGTCAGCCCAAGAACAGACTCCAGCCTTCAGCAGCTGATGCTAAGACCCTCTCCCTAACCCAGATTCCAGGAAAAAGCACAAAAACGTGGGCTGCCAGCATCACAGGCCTGGTGGGCGCCTGCCCCGTCCAGCCGGGCCTATGCCTGGGGCCGTCCTTGGCGCGCCGGCCCTCACTGGCCCTCTCTGCCCCCAGGGAAGGCTACAACAACCCCACCATCTCTGGTGAGAACCTGATCGGCCTGAGCAGGGCCCGGCGCCCCCACAACGCCATCTTTGTCAACTTCGAGGATGACGAGGTGCCCACACAGCCGCTGGAGGCTGCAGTCCAGACATGGCGGAAGGTTTGCACCAACCCCCTGGACCGGAAGGTGGAGGAGGAGTTGGCGAAGGTGAGCGGCCCCTTCCACGGGGCCAGCCCTGCACTGCCCGCCTCCTGTTGACCCCGCTGGGCCCCCCCTCATTGGCTGTACTGACCTAAACCCGTTCATTAGCACATGGGAAGTTTTCACTTCCAGATGCCACGTGGAAAAGCCATGCCAATCTGAGTCCTGATTCCCAAGGTTGAAAATACATAGAATTCTCTAAGGGGTCCCTTTGGGTGGTAAACAGCCGGAGCATTGTCCGAATGTGACTTCAGTGCTCGGGGTCCAGGCAGCTTTCATGTATTCCTTCACTGGTTGCAACATGCCAGACGGGGCGCCTACCCTGTGCCGGGCCTTGGGATGGAAGCGGCCTTCCGCCCTGCCTTCTGGCCGCAGGTTCTGGGAGGACGCAAGCTGGGGGGCTCTTCCTCGCATCCCCACAGGCTTGGACAACAGTTTCTCAGGCTGCATCACTGCTGACTGAGGCACGCCTCTTCCCTGGTTGGCGTTAACTGTTCCTTGGGGTTGATTCTAAAAGAGACTGTGTGGACACCTTGTGTTTCTAGCGGGGGCAGAAGGGAGATGGGGGCCACTGTCCCAGGCTCCTCGTTGTCTGGACACAGCCCAGGGCCTCCCTTCCCTGGCCCTCCACGCTCCAGCCACACTGGCCTTTTGCGGTTGTCCCCTGGGCAAGGCCTCCCCTTTGTCCCTTCAGCCTTCATGATGTCCCAACTCAGGCACTGCCCTCAAGGTTGGGGCTGCTCGGGGTTCCGGAGCTCTGGCACGCCTCCGTCTTGTCCTTGCTCTGGCTCCTTTGGTCGTCTGCCTCCCCTGCTGCCCTGTGAGCTGCATAGGGACAGAGACTGTGTCCCTCGGGTCATTCAGGACAGCCACGCTTGACACATGCTGGGTGTGCAGCCCACGCATCTGAGGGAGGGGATGAGAGTGTGCGTGCAGCGGCTCCTGGAGGCTGGTCCGTGCTAGTCAGCCCCTGCTCCCCTCCGACTCCTCCAGAGGGTTCCCTGGGGGCCCTCCATGCTGGGCAGCCTGGGCCCGAGGTAGGAAGCCGCTGGTGCTCATCTCAGCCTCTGTCTTGACCCCCTCCCCCAGCTGTTTGACATCCGTCCCATCTGGTCACGTAACGCCGTCAAGGCCAATATCAGCGTCCACCCTGACAAGCTCAAGGTCTTACTGCCCTTCATGGCTTATTACATGGTGAGTATCTGCCCAACTGCCCACCTTGGTTCCCACCAGGGTCATCCTGATCCCTGATGTGACCTGTCCCGACGCCCCCTAGAAAGGCCTCCACAGCTTCTCAGTAACACGTTGGTCGTACTGGGATGATTTTAGGATTAAAGGAGTAATTACATGACTCTTAGGTAAAGGGATTATATGTCTTAAAATGACCTCTTACTGAGACCTTTCTAAGGACCAGGCGCTGGGTTAAGTGCTGTGTGCACATCATGTCCTTTGCCCCCACCTGGGCGCAGCAGCAGGATTTCCGTTTCACCTGTGAGGAAGAGCCTAGGCCCAGAGAGGCTCGATGTGTCAAGGTCCTATAGCCGACAGTGGCAGAGCCACCTGGGGACCCCAGCCTGTCTGACTGCAGAGCCCGGGCCCCTGAACCCAGTGCCCCCGAGCCCCGACCAGGGTTGAGTGGAGTTCAGTGTGGGAAGAGCCACCTTGGACGCAGTGCAGGTGGGCATGGTGATGGGGGTGTCAGTACTGAGGTCCCCAGAGGTGCTGGGGGGAAGAGAGCCTACCTGCCGACGGTTCTCAAACAGAGCATTGCAGAGGCCAGCATAAGGCGTGACCATGACAGTGATGATGGGTGGCAGGGCACAAGAAAGGTTCATCGCTCCTGGGCTCGGACCCCAGACTTTGGAGAGCTGCCGTCTTTTAGCATTGGCTTCCTAGACAGAAGGACCTCAGGAGTACCGTTTGGGGACAGTACACCCCATCCATTAGGACAGTGATAGCACTTACTCAGCACTTACTATACCAGGTGCTGTGGTACAGGCTCCAGGGGCCTCATTTCATTTCATCCGACAAAAACTATGGGAAAGGGGGCCCATGTCATCTCCATCTGACAGGAAGACCAAGTGACCTGTCGAAGGTGACAGAGCCACCTGTGGCAGAGCTGGGGTGGGGAGCCAGAGCCGTGTCCCCAGCTCTTGGGGTGTTCCGCTGCCCCGCCTGAGCCTGCATCTCTGTGGGGGCCGGGGCTCAGTCTTGGCCCCACTTTGCACTCACACCTCCTCTGTCTCCAGATAACAGGCCCCTGGAGAAGCCTATGGATTCGATACGGGTATGACCCCCGAAAAAACCCAGATGCCAAGATTTATCAAGTCCTCGATTTTCGAATCCGTTGTGGAATGAAATACGGTAAAAATTCCTAAAACCTTTGCCTCCTCTCTATCTTTCTGTTCCTGGCATTCTCTTTTATAATAAGAATGCATCCATATGGAGAGAATAAAAGGGCCTTTCTCCTGGTGAGATCTGAGATGAGGCAGAAGTGAGGACCCACGCTGAGTCCTGGCTCCACTGCTGACTGTGGCTCCTGGCACAGTCACTTGTTCATCCCATTTTTCCATAGTGACTTGTGGTCTCCGTGGCACAGGCCAGGCACCCAGGAAATGCCCAGTCCCCAGGCACGTGGCAAGCCCCGGCACACAGAGCCCCAGCACATGGCCCTGCGAGGTCCGCGCTGGAACGCAGAGGCCCCTGTCACCCAGGCCCTTTCTCAGGAGCGGCCTCATGAACCTCGGTGTGCCTGTCGCACGGAGCAGCGCTGTTTGCCAGGAGGGGCCGTGTGCTGCCCGCACCTGACACGCTCCCCCTCGTCTGCAGGCTACGCCTCCATCGACTTGCCGGTGAAGGCCAAGCGCAGCACCTACAACTACAGCCTCCCGATCACCGTCACCAAGACGCGTGAGTGCCTCAGGCTCGCTCTCGGACCGGGGCCGGCGGGCCCCCCACCAGTGCTGAGGACAGCGGACATCTGGACTCCTAGAGGGGGCGGAGCTTCCCCAGGGACCATCCGGGCACTGCGGCCAGCACTCCCCGGGGCGGGGTGGGGGTGGGTGGGCAGGAGGGCAGGGTGGGGCGCTGGGAGAATCCAATTCCAAAGCACTGCTCTCGTCCCCTCACAGCCAACCAGGCTGTCACCACCATACATGACCTGAAACAGGGCCTCGGCCCATCGGGGACGGCTAGCGCTCGGAAATCGAGCCCCAACAAGTACAAGCTCAAGGTGGGTGCCCCCTAAGCCCGGGGAGAGCCGCTGCCCGTCTGGTTGGAGGGTGGAGGGTGGAGAGGGGCCCCTTTGTCGTGTAGGCCCTGCACACACCACACCCTCAGGGACCCTCCTGGCACCCAGAGGGCCTTGGACTGAGGCGGCTCTGTCCACCCAGTGCCTTCGTAGGACTCCCACCTTCTAGACAGCCTCTGGAAACAGGGACAGCTCGGGGTGCGAACCACCCAGGGCTGTGGGGATTGAGGACCCTCTGCGCAAAGAGGCGGCAGCAAGTCTCAGAGGGAAACCTGACACCAAAAACTGCACATGGGGCCCGTGGCCACCACTGTGATGGTCAGAATTGGGCCCTTGCCAGGAGTACAGAGCCCAAGCAGACCACCTGGACCCCAGCTGGGGCTGGGCACGGGGTGCTGACATGGGCGAGAGCCCAGGGCCCTGCGCTCACAGGCTCGTGCTTTCATTACAGTCGCCCAAAGGCCTTCCCCACGCTCAGGCTGCTGCAAGCTGCTCTGCAGCCCGGGGCAGGCGGCCTGGGGGAGGCCTGCCTCACTTAGGGGTGAGGAAGACTGTGAGAGCGGCAGGAGGGGTGGAGGCAGACACAGGTGCTGGGAGGTACGCGGCTGGCTTCAGGTTGTCAGTGCCCCAGGGAGGGGCAGCCAGACTGCGCTGCCGCCGTCCCCCTCCTCCTCAGGGTGTCCATTGTAGGCCGTTATCCCCGTCTCTAGAACTCCATGCCTGGGTAGGGGAGAGAGAAAACGGACACTCCGTTAACCCTGAGCATGTCAGGTGGCATGAGCAGGGCTCAGCCGCACCAGCCTGGTCGACACCCACGCCCTGGCGCCTGGCCTGCCACGCAGGCGGCTCTCGGTTCCCGGGGCCACGGGCGGGCCTGGCTGCCCCGTCCACCCTCCCAGAGCCTCCCCCCGGTCAGGGCTCATTTGCCTACATCTATTCCTGGCCTTCGGGCCTCCCTGCCCCGCCAGGATCCAGTGAGAAGAGATAGGCCTGCCGGTCCTGGGCAGCCGGCTCCTTGGAGGGGCCCCGTGGGAGCCTGCAGTGTGGGGTGTCCAACATCAGTCGCTCCCAGGGGAAGGCTCCCACTAACAGTCCCTGTGTCTCCCCCTCTTGCCCCAGGACTCGGTCTACATCTTCCGGGAGGGGGCCTTGCCGCCGTATCGACAGATGTTCTACCAGTTATGCGACCTGAGCGTGGATGAGTACGTACGGGAGGGCCTGAGACACCCAGGTGGGGCCGCGGGACTGGGGCCCCGTGCTGAGGAACCGCCGGGGACCAGTGTCTCCTGCAGGTCTCCCTTCCGTTTGCTGTCAGCCTCGACCTCAGCGAGGAGGCTCGCCTGCCAGGGACTTCCAGGGACTTAGGTGTGGCCAGGCGAGCCCGCCGTGTCTGCGTCGTGTGGCCCTCAGGAGCGCCCAGCATCCACATGGGCCACACCTCTGAGCAGCCAGATGTCCTGTGTACCGAGCATGGCGCTGGGCTGGCAGAGACTTGTCTGCTGTTGAGTCTTTGCCCCTCCTTCTCCATCTCCCACATGGGGGTTCCTGATCCCCAAAACCAGCCAGAATCCCAGAAACCTCGAATCGGGTTGTTCTTCGTGATGTTTAAAAAACTGGGGGAGGGGCATGTTAAACAGCTGGAAATTGGATGACAGACTATGACTCTCCAGGAAAGTGGGTGTGGGCACACACCCCGCTTTATGTGCAGGGTGGGAGTCGGGTACCACACCGGCAACGGCCCAGCGTTCACGGGCATCCTTCGGCACCATGTTCGGGCCCTGTCACACCACCCACGGCCCCTGTTGGCAGGAAGCCCTGGAACTCCGTGTCCCAACCCCCCAGGTTGCAGAAGATCATTCATCGCAACGACGGGGCCGAGGATTTCTGCACGGAGCGGGATGGGTGGTGCCTCCCCAAGACCAGTGATGACCTGAGGAATGCCATGTCAGTCATGATCCGGCAGGCCATCCGCTCCAAGAGGCCTGGTGAGAACCGCTCGGGGCGACGGGGTCCGGGGACAGAGCGAGTGTCCCTAATGGGCCCATTCTCAAGAATTGCACCCGGGTGGGATCATCTGGCCCCTGACGCTGGTGGGAGGGCGGCGTTGTGAGCCAGGGCTCAGCCTGGGAGGCGCTGTGGCACTCAGTGC